TTAGATCCAACGAGTTATTGTCATGAGCTTTCTGTAATTCAGTTACGCTGGGTGTAACGTAACGAGTGATGCAATCGATAATGGAGCGATTTTACATGCAACGACGAATCGAAAATGTGGAATAAATTTCTTCGATACGAAGTCCTGTTTCCAAAAGAATTGAGATTAAAAATTCTTCCAGTTCACGTATATTTATGTTTCCATTGTGTAGAGCTGTCAACATATATATCCCATTGTTATTAGGAATTAGGATATTTTATCTTATGATAAATAATATTTAGCACTTTGTATATTACACTATAGACTATTACTATAAAAACTTAAATTATAATAAAATTAATTATACGTATATTGGTAGAAAAAGTAATAAAAGTGGTAATAAAGGAATGATTACTTGTCTAATTTCGATAAAATGTTCTTACAAACAATTGCTTCCTAAAGTTGATTAAATATCGGTACACCCTTTCGCCTGTTGAAAACTCAGCATAGTCAAAGTTTAGTCGCATCATATGCACCTGAAAAATTTTCACATTTGCTTTATTTAAAAATAGGGAAACCTATTAAAAAATGTTATTTTATATTTGTATCTAGAGTCACACTACATATTTTTAGTAATATCTGATTTAGAATATTCTATCCTTTCAGATTTTTACAACTAGTATCCTTTGTTTTTTCGAATTATATTCAAAATATGGATTATAGGTTAAATACAACAAAAGGTGTACTGTAAAACTATTTATAAAATTAAGGATGATATACTTACATTATTTTCTCATTTTATTTCTAAAAGCTTTATATCAATTAGATATTATAAAAATAATGATTATAGTGACTACTATATAAATAAACTATTAGTATCTGCTTGTGCGTTAAATTCTTGTAACGTAAAATTTGTCTAAGAATTCGAAACGTTCGTGACAAGTGGCAATCCAACACAGGGGTATACGTGTATAAATTACGTACGTGTGTGTTACAATTTAAAACTGAAAAAGAAAAACAAGAAAAAGTGAAACAAGAATAAAACGCCGAGTTCAGCGTTGAGAAGGATTGAAAATCTCCCAGCGATTACCTGTCAAAATTTTATCCCTTGTCTGCTATTCAACGAAGCGATAAAACCGTCCCGCTTCTCGGAAAGCCAATGCAGACAACATGCCAATAGCTCCGAAAACACAACGTATCCCGCATATTTCTAAATATTACCAGCTCCCCCTGTGGTCAGCAATAAATTCGAGGCACAATTACCGGCGAATGATCATGAAACTTCAACCAGTCCGTAAAATATATGCAACGCCGCTTGGCTTCGACGTAGTCAACTACATAAATAATGACCACGTGTGATCCCATGCAAGTCGTTGCAGTTGTTACAACCTGCTCACCGTATTGCCTCGTTTTACTTAAAAGCGAGCCTGACAATTATCTTAATAGCTGACTCGGTCGAGCGATTTCCAGGTAGCGGAGGCGAGGCATCTGACGATTTTCATCGAGTAAACAGCGAAGGATAACCACGTCAGCGTTCCACCGGCCACGCCATAATTTCCCTGGTGGTTTATTCCTGATTTTTCCTCCCCTTTTCGCGACGTTGCCATCGCAAACTAGATGCGACAGATAACGCGCGCACGAAACCTCGGTAGCTTATCGACCGGTGGTTATCGAAAATTATGGAAACTCGTTACGGTAAAGGATTACGTGACTGATAGGGGGATTGACGTTCAATATTCGAATTATCGTAGTCACCGCTAATCGTTGATTTATTGTAAAATCGTTGCGTGTGAAAAAGGAGGAAATCAGCTCAACCGGTAATCTCACGTGATATCTCGCTAAAATGTGATGCAATCGAGACACATTGATGATCAGCGAATTATGAAAATGGTAATTCTTCGGGTTGTAAATTGCTTGACAGTAGCGAGTAATTGAAGTTGATAAAGTTGTACGTCATAAACCAAGGTGTGTCTTTTAATGCGATGTATAATATCTGGATGTAATGGTTTTAGATGGTAACGGTGTAGGAGGTGTTGTTAGGTTAGGTAATATGTATTACGCGTTTTATACACAGCTTTTTTATTGTAAATTCTTGGTAATTATGTAGGTAATAACCTGATTGAATTTAGATCGTTGAATATAAAGACATGTGGAATGTAAACTTGGGAAATTTCATATCGAATTCTTGAAAAGGGACGTAAGAAAATCTCTGATAGAATGTAAGAATGAACCGGAATTGTAAAATAATATTAAATTGTAGAATCTCAAACACTTATCAAACAGTAAAAAATTAATTTAAAATGTCATAAAAAAAAGTAAAAAATAATATAACAATATTGTATAGGAACAGAATAATTGAGTATAAAATATTGAAACTATTACAAGTAATTTAATGACAATTTTAGTCGTATTTATTAAAAAAATAACAATTACATTAATGACAATTTCCTTTTTATACTTTGGTCAAATAATAACTATACAAGAAGGTACAAATAATTACATTCAATTATATATCAATACAATACATATAAATACAATATACAATTCAAACACAACATACAATTACATATAAATACAATATACAATTCAAGCACAACATACAATTACATATAAATACAATACATATAAATACAATATACAATTCAAACACAACATACAATTACATATAAATACAATATACAATTCAAGCACAACATACAATTACATATAAATACAATACATATAATACATATTAATTACAAACAATTACATATACATATAAGTACAACTGTGTTTACAATTTTTACATTTTCAATCTTATTTACAATTCAATATCAGATACTTTGTAAACAAATGAGAAATTAACTTCATTCCAATATTTGATCAGCTTTCTTACAATGTCAGATTATACTATCATGAAACGATAGATTCCATCTGAATATGAATCACAAGTCGTGGATTAAATAACAATCTAATATATAACTCCACTAAATTCATGAAATATCGTATGAAACTATAATTACACCTGTATTCCTCAACACCACTCATGAGTCATAGTATTGTAATGGTAATAGATTACCATTGCCCCCGTGTTTGTTTCTTATTTAAAAAGTACACAAGAAGCAGAAACTAACGTAAGAATTGCCACACAAGGACGATGTATATTTTGAATCACGCAATATCATGGTTAGACGCGCACGAGCAACAAATTTAGTTATCATTACACGGATTGTCATCTCATAATACGATGATGTCTCGTTTCTGTCAAGGACGATGTATCGCCGTTCGCAACGAGCGCTATAAATCTCCATTCTCCTCACGCATATGTGATCACGTTTCAATCGATAAGTTGGTTCACATTTTCTTAAAACAAAAAAGACGATGATTATTACTATAATAATTTCACATTAAATTAATTTAATAATAGTAATAATAAGAATAATAGCAATATACTTATTTTGTAGATATACTTATATTAAACGATTTAATTATAATAAAATATAAAGGAAAATAGAGAAATATGAAGATATAAAAATAGAAATTCAAAGTATAAGCAGCAAGAACATATAAAGTATATCATTTATTATTTCAATTACTAGAATTATACTGCATTTGTTTATCAAACATCATACTCGATTTGATCTAAAACATAATATATATATATACATATTAGAACACAGAAAATAATTATACTATGTTTGATAATTCAGAAATCTATAAATTATAAATAAAATAATATATTCGAATAGATTTGGTGACATACTATCTGTTTCGCATAACCTAGATGATAAAACGCTGATATAAAAATGGCAATAATAAATGTTATTTACAAATGTGAGATTAAATGTAAATACATCTAATAAAAATAAATGGTGAAACAGTAGCTTAATATTATGTGTAATTTATAACAGCTGATTTACGAAATGTGATATGGTCGTTTTCTTAATGCAATGAGACACAGTGTAACTATAGCATTCTCGAAATTGGTTGCATAATAAGAGAATATAGGTAAAGCATGTGCTTGATTCAGTGAAACAGGTAGTTTTGGACGTTAGGTGCTAATGTGTACAGATATAAAGATGATTCAGATGAGAGAATGCAGCGTTAATGCGTAGACATACGTAATTTTGCGATATAACTAATGACGTATTGTGCAGCATTAACATATTTATTTTACTACATGACGATGACCAGTAAGTAACTTTCCTGAAACAAAAAGTTTTGCATTAGTCATCTGTGGTCATCATGGCGATGACAGTATTAAACATAAACATATACATATATATATATATATACACACATGTAAATATATTTTGTTCGTTTAAAATTACCTTAAATTAAAGTATTAAACTAGATTTTAAATCTTTCGATGACACGACTGCAGTTAATGTTGTTCTAAATGGTTTTGGACATCTATTTTCTTAAGTTCCCATCAATTTGCTCGTTGAGACCTGACCTACACTTAACCAAACTAACCTCGATATGTAAACTTTGACACTTCATTGATTTAACTATCTCGCTATGTTTCTTTCACTAACTGTATTAATAACCCTTTTGCGTGTATGCAAAATTGAATTCAAGCCGAATCGTGCCGTGTGATATATATAGCTATGCATAGGAGCGTGGTATTTCCTCGATAAATATCGGAACATAAGGAAACTGCACGCTTCATATATTTAGGTTGGTCAAATGTTACATAATCCTTCTATTATGGAATAACTATATATACGAACGAAACATCTGCGCATTCCTGTGCGATTTTATGTAGTCTTGCGCAGGATGCGCAGTGCTGCAAGGCGCAATGTAGTGCGGTTTGTTTATATGCGACTTAACCCTAAAACAAGTAGCAAGGAAATAAATAGGACACGTGTAAAAGTGCATGAAAAAGTACGTTCAAATAGACATAAAGAATTTTGTGGTTATTAAAACTAATTTTTAAGTTTTATATATAACATAATAAATATGTATCGATGTATTTTTGTAAAATTTCGATATGTAAAAGAATAAGAGATGATTAAAATTTGATCGTTTTATGATTTCAGTGAGCATGGCAGTACTGTCGTTCTTCTTGTTCGGTAAACCGTACAAACGTGGATTCTTCTGCAATGACGAGTCGTTATATTACCCGTTCCACACGTCAACGGTAACCAGTGAGATGCTCTACGTTATTGGCCTTTTGCTTCCTATATGTACGGTGAGTCACCTGCTGCGATTCTTGATTTCCACGTTCCAAAAAGAAGCGTCAGACGATACCTCGTCGACGCCGAGATCGTTCTTCACGTTTTTTGCGGTGGGCTGTTTTATACGAGGTGTTTCTTAAATATGTGGGGAATACTGAGTGCGTGAGAGATGCTGAAAAGATGAATTTAAAGCTTGAAAGCGATATATTTAATACTTTAGCAATACTGCAACCAGCTGACTGCCAAGACGATTTAATAAGAATTTTTTAGTAGATGTTTATCCAATTTTTTTTCAGATTTTTAACGTTCTTAATATTACAATTTTAAAAGCTTTTGATATTTAAAAATATTTAAAAATAGTAATGATAAAAGAAATATTAAAATAAAGTATTGGAGAATAATGAAATTATATACAAAGAATGAAGTATTATAAAGAATATAAATATTATTTTTATTTTTATTTCTCTTTTTATTTATTTTTATTTTCATTTTCATTGTTTTAAATGTGAATTTTAGAATTAATTAAACGTGATATTAATTTTAAACACGATTTTAGATTATTATTTTTGGAATTCATGTTTATTTTTATAGCATTATTTACGTATTAAAAAATGCTTTATATCTTTTTGTATTATAAATTTTATATTTTTCATGTTTAAGTAGTAGTTCATTACATTTTGATATTTCTTGATGAAATAATGATCTTTCCTCTTTCAAGGCCTCTTCGTAATATCCATTTATTAATTCATTTTCTCACTACTGTGTTTTATATCTTATCGACAATACAAGAACTCATTGTAGGAGGAACGTAATCGAATACACATTATTCGAATCAATAAGGAGGAATGTCTATTGAAGTAAATGACTTTTCGGTCGATAGAATTTTTTTTCTTCCCAACGAAATATTTTTAAGTAATATTTAAAAGACAGAAACATGTTGCTTATATTCTCGAGGTCAATGGTTTTATCATCTATTTGTGTAGATAACAGAAATTGACATTTACAAGCTTGGACTAAAAAATGTCTTTTTACTAGATTTATATTTATATCTTAAGATGATTACACTGTATTTGAAATTTTGAACTATGATTTATCAATATTTCATAACCTAACGAGTAATTTACGTAAATCAATCTATTTCACGATAAAAACAATTTTATATTATTTAATTATTTTCTGATAATTTTATGGAACATAATATCTAAAGAAATATTTAAAAATTTTATACGTGTAAATTTTTGAAAATTTTTCACTCTTCTGTATTTCAATTCCTTCCCACAATTTTTCTGCTAAAATTCAAGTCAAAATTCAGCTGAAGGAATATTAAAAATTATTTAATTATTTTCTGATAATTTTCTGGAATATAATATCCAAAGAAATATTTAAAATTTTTTCACTCTTCTGTATTTGATTTCCTTTTCACAATTTTGCTATTAAAATTCAAGTCAAAATTCAGGTGAAAGAATATTAAAAATTGTTATTTAATTATTTTCTTATAATTTCATGGAATATAATATCCAAAGAAATATTTAAAAATTTTATACCTGTAAATTTTTGAAATTTTTTCACTCTTCTGTATTTGATTTCCTTCCTACAATATTTCTGCTAAAATTCAAGTCAAAATTCAGGTGACAGAATATTAAATATTCGTGATTTCTTTATTTTTTTTCTGTTTGCATTTAGTATCACCATGTAAACATTTTACTGTATTTTATGAAACAGCGTTTCACGATCGTGAGTCATTGAAGAAGATCAATATTTAGTGTTCCATTTAACGTCATCGATAAACTTTTCCAACAGCACATGGTATAACCAATTTTTTTAACCTTATGTACTCATTTTTGTATTTGTAAGTAATATATCGAGTGTGGTTTATTGATATATCAACATTTATGTTACCAGATTCGTGTGAGGTATTTTACAGTTAACGAAACATGAAGCATTTCCATTCAGGAACAAAATACGTAATTCAAGGTCACGGAAGGAAAAATCTCCAGATAATGAACTGAAGGTTCTGAATCTCAGATAACAGAACATGCAGATAATAAGAGCATTATAATAATGTGTGCCTGATAATAGAGTTTCCACTGTCTTCCATTATCAATGCTATTGGGTGATTATAATGGCATCGGGTGATAATTTATTCAGTCATAATTTTTTTTACGATCGCGATATTTTTTGATAACTTTTCCGATCGTTTATATAAGACTGTAAACAAAATTAATGCCACGTGTAGTTACAAAAATTGTTTCTTTGTTTTAGAAAGCTATCATTTGTATTCATTACTTCATTTGTTAAAATTGTATTGTTTCTGATGATTTGTTAATGTTATTACATAATTTCTGTATTAATTTGTTTTGTATTAAAGTACATATAAGGTATTGCAAAAGCAAGGTAAATTATAACAATCTGAGATTAATAGTATCTTTGTCGGTTAGCATATAATATATTGGATTCTTTGAAATATGATTAAAAAATTATCATCCAATAAACTACTGCTTGAGACTATTAAAGTATCATTTAAATCGATTATGGAAAAAATTATGTTAAACTTGCTATAATTATGTTTAGTGCAAAGAATACTAACTTTTATTTAAACGATGAAACAATATTGAAATAGTTTATAATTGAAAATGAGAATAAATGAAATATAAATGTAGTTTACTAAAACTAAAAAAGTATTTTGAGTTAATCTAAAGAAGGAATATTTGTAAATTAAACGTTACCATCTGTGACCTTTAGTTCGTTTATGAGAGAAAGATTATAATTCTTTAAAGTTTTTCACTTTAATCTGAAACTTATGACTTTTGACTTTCTATATAGCAATATTATTATATTAATAACTAAGGAATATATATTATTTTCATAATATAAAAATGAATAATATACAAATAATAGCATATTAATAAATTAGAATAATACAATATAATATAGTATATAGTACATGTGATAATACAGTATGGTACAGTATAAATATATAACAAAATAAAGGCATAAGAAAATAAACTAAAATTAGTGAAGTATTATAGGTATGTATATGGATGTGCAACTTCCATGATATTGTTACTTCTTACATGATATCAAAAAATATCTCACAGCTTAAATCATTTCTGATAATGGTGCATCTTCGTATCTTTTCTTAGGGAACAACAAAGTACATAAATTAATGTATAAAGACTTGCACAATTCTATCTGAAGAAGCAATTTATTCTCAAATCTCTGAAATGACATCACAGTGACATCACAGTGACATCACATTATAAATGACATCATATGATGTTTTATACAATCTTTTGTTACCTTGAAACGCGTTAACGTTATATTCAATTTTAGTTTCATGAAATTTTCTGTATAAGAAAACCAAAAAGTATTCTGTCTTTTTATGGGATATAAGGGAGTTAATAAAGGAGATAAAATGAAATAAAAGTGTCGTATTAATATAGTATTGAAAGCATATGTCTAAAATTTATTATTTGAAATGTTAAAAGAAATAAGAATAAGGAAATCATAAATTAAAAATATCAAACGGAATCATAAATTGATTAATTTATTGTGGTATAAAATCTTTTTCTATCTGACTTTAGAAGATCACTTTTTTCTTTTGAAACCATTCTGCTTATCATGGGTAATAGGAATGTTCTGTATGTTTTCTCTGTGTCTGAATAAGTAATATTTAATTATCAACAAAGGATAGAATAGAATTTGTTTGCTCAAATTTCTTTTGTTACTATTTGTACATGGAAAAATAGGTTCCATTATAATATGTAATTGACATGTACAATTATGTTGTGTATGTTATAAAAATATTAGTTATGCTAGGTATAGTACATAAGAATGTTAAAGGAAGAGTTACAAAAGTCTTATAATAACATATATAATTCAGTTTCTTTATATTTAAATATAATAAAAATGGTTAATGAATATTATTAATTAGGTTTAATAATAATATATTTATATTAATTATAATATTATAATTGTTCATAAATATTATTATTAATAATTAAATATTATAAATAATAATTTAATAATAATATTTAATTAGGTT